CTACAAAGAGACCCCCGTCTCAAAAAGACTTAAAAAAGAAAAAAATAATATGAATGCAAAGAGGCATGAATCACTGGTATCTTCTTAGAAGGTGCCACAATGTGTCAGGATAATTTTATGCCTTCCCACCTCTCCTCAGAGCTGATTATTTTTTTAAAGTTGGTTGTCTGTCCATTTCTTCTCAAGTTCATCTTGGGTTTGCAGGCAGGATTTCCATAGTAGCTTGAGAAAGGTAGGAATGGACATTGTTTCTTAGAATCTACAATATATAGTGGAATGTCAGCTCTGCATTCCAGAGCACTTTTATCTCTATTCACCCCATTTAGACTGCTTAAATACCCTTAGTAGTTCTTATAAATTTACTGCTCTGTCTTAATGTAATAACTCTTAGATAATGGAGATGAGCCTCTAGAAGTCACAATGGATTATGTTGGGGTTCATTCTAAATCAGTCTCCTTAAACTCTTTTGCTAGGAGGTCTGATGTCACTTACTGTACTTCTGCACTCCCTCTGGTCTTTCTTTTCCACGTATTAGCTGTATAGGCTTGGGCTCATTACTTGATCACCTTATGTTTCCTTTTTCCTCTTTGCAAAGTAGGAGCAATAATTGAACCCATTGCTTGGGACTGCTACGTAGGGTAAATGTGATAACTGCAAAGTCCTTAGTATGGTGTCTGGCACATTGGTAAGCACCCAAATAATAGTTGGACATAGTCGTACTCTGGAGGCTGAGGCAGGAAGATTGCAAGTTCAAGGTCAGCCTAGGCTATTTGTAGTGAGACTTTGTCTCAAAGAAAAAAGGTACCCATACATTAGTACTTGCTGCCACTATTTATTGATTTTGATTGTTGTTATTGTTTGCTCTCAGTTGCAAATAATATGGTTTAGATGTCTCTGACCGTTTTGTTCATTGAACAATTTCTATATGCCACTGTATACTTCAAAGGCCTTATTTTGTAGGCAGAAGATAAAATTTTATCAATAAGAAAATTAAAGTGTGAAGATACTAGATAACTTGTTCCAAAATTACAAAGCTAGTAAGTTATATAACTAGTGTTCATAACTAATAAATGTTTGTGGAATTGGATTAAGTTTAAGAAAGATTCACTGGTGCAGCTAGTAGACCCATAGCCAGAGCTGCTTACAGTGCTAGTTTGTGTGTGAGATGGTGGACTTAAGGCACTCAGATGATTCCTTATGGTGGGTACCTCTCCTGCATCTGGGCTTGAAGACTAGAACAACAGTTGTACCTGTTGTCTTCTGTTGCTGAAAGTCAGGGACGAGCTGTTCAATGATGACCATGCATTTGCTGAGTATCGTGCAGAGCACAGGAAATGTGGCAAGAAGGATGAATTTGAGGAATGTTGTTATTCTGAAATAACTCTGTGGTCTTCCAGGTTTCTTCTGGAATGTTGCTTTTAATGCAGCCAGTGCTTGAATCATAAAAATTAGTGTTTTTCTCAAGAAAGATCTGGGGGACTGTCGTCTAGATAGGATCTCCTGTTGCATTACTGGTACACAGAAGTTGGATGATTGTGGGCAGGAAAACTTCCCTTTAGGAGGGCATGTCCAAGGAAAGCCACGAGTCAGGAATGAGATCTTAGATGTAGCTACTCACTGATTTGTTGGGAGAGGCTATCTACTTAACTTTGGGGCGAGGAGGTTCTGTGTCATGTGTCGTGTACCAGAGAGTTATAATACGGGCAGTATAAATCTAATGCGTGGACTCCAAGGTCACATTTACACATGACAGAAGAACTAAAAGCAGCTGTGTGTATTTTGAGGAAGTTAATGAACACATTCATATGTTGACATCCCTCTCCAGACTGGATTAAATGTATGTGAGGGGAGATTGTTCAGGGGACAGGAAGTAGGGTTTTTTTAGAGTTGCTACAGAAATGATAAAGTGAGGACCTGACCCCGTAAGTGATAAAGTTCCTGTGTGTCCTTGGAGCCTTTCCTGTCTTCACTTATTTATCATCCAAAGCAGATGGCATATTGGAACATGGCTCAGAATTTTTTTTTTTTTAATGTTTCCAAATTGCTTTATTTCTAGACTTAACCATTAGTTAAGTTACTCCTCATTCCATGAATGCCCCAGATGATTACAGAATATGACTGTTAAATTTAAGAGATAAAAGGGATTGATGCATAAATTTCTTTGCTAATCAAAGAATTTTATCTTTTAATTTTTTAATTTATTTTATTTTCAGTTTCTGTTCATGAGTGTTTGCCAGTATGTAAGTACACCATATCCAAGCAATGTCTGTGGAGGCCAGAAGGAAGCTTCGGCTCCCCTGGAACTGTAGTTATAGATAGCCGTTAGCTGCTACATGGGTGCCGGAAACCAAACTGGGGTCCTATGTAAAAGCAGCCAGTTCTCTCAACCACTAAGTGATCTCTCCAGTACAAGTTTTGTCTATTTTAGCAGATATTTTTATTTTGTTATCCACAGAAAGTTAACAAAATCTACTACCTTTTACAGTTCTATCAGTATTATATTTAATTGTATTTATTCCTGTGATTATTCAAATAATTCAAGATGTCATAGCTTAAAGACAAAAGACTCCAGTAGTTCTTTTAACAAAATTTTCGATGTGTATAAATTTATCTCTTTAAGCTTGAAATTATAAAATATACTAGTATATTTTTCATTATAAATGAAATGAAATATATAATTTCAGTAGCTAAACAAAAGGAGCTGAAATTTGACCACCAACCAATCAGAAATTATTGAACTTTCAAATTTATTTGTTTTATTTCCATTTACCTTATCTAATAAGGTCATCAAAGGCATTACTATTTCACTGCTTACCTAGTTAAAATTTATGGGGATGTTAGTTGTGGTAGATGAGTCCACCTAAGAAAATACAGTAAACTTCCTTTTCATTTCAAAGTATTTGTTTTTC